TGATATTGTGTTCAAATAGGGCATGATAAGGTATATTGAGGATGGTTGATATGATTTTATGATTTAGTGATATGAAATATACAACGAGATGGATGTTTCATGTTTGAATATAGTGTTTCATGTAAAAATGATGTGTATTGTGAATATGCCATGGTTTGATGTATATGATGAAAGGTATGTGGAAATATAATGAAAAATATGTGTGAACATGATAAATGGCATATGTGAATATACTCGAAAGAGTATAAGATGGAAAAGGATGTGATGTAAATAGTTACAGAGATACACTGGGGGAGTGGAAGATGGAGACGATATGGTATATCTTGGGGAAATGTAGGGTGGTGAGTGAGATTCAAGATTGTGCACTGAATATTGTGCTCGAATGCACCACATGGCCACACACTCATTTCTCGACTTGACTCCTGACCATTACCTTTGCTAAGGGGCCGTCTATTGCATGCGTTGTATCTGTATTGCATTGGGCCATCCGGCGACTATTTACATAGATGTGTAAGACCTCGGGATAGAGGCATCGGATAACTGTGGCCACAGGGCGCTGTAAGCGCGGATAAAAGTAAAAGAAATTGTGAATCTATGGAATATAATATGTGTTGAGATGAGAACATGCTTCTATGATACTATGATATGTAATGCCATGATGTTTTCTTAACTGTGATAAGATGTGTTTTGTGATAAATATGTGTTATGTATGAGTGGTAGGGTAGAGACTCACCCTTACACAACATTTTTCAGGAAACTAGGACAAATAGTACCAGGCTCACAGTGCATGGATGGATGAGAACTGCTATAGGACTTAGTTATTTTGAGTTATGTAATGGATAATTTTAGTTCTATAGCATTCTTTTGAAACAGTTGTAAAACTACTATTTCTTTTTGTTGCTGATGAAAATTTTAGAATCTTTGTTTTTCTAAAGTACTTATATGAACCTTATATCATTTCATCGTTTCTTTCTCATTAGAGAGTTTTTGAAAGAACATTTACTTTACCATTTAAATTTTTTATGAAAATTTGTCATATATTGAGGAAAGAAATAAAAGGCGTTACACTGAGTGCTTTTTCATACTAAACAATTATAGTGGAAAGTGTAGATGATGACAAGATTGGTATAGCAAGATTGAGGCCTATTTTGCTAAAGAAGGCTTCAAAAAGTATCAATATGAACACACCATTTTCACAAAGTCAAAAGAAGGAGGTAAACTTTTAATTCAGTCTTTACGACGATAATTTAATCTTTATCGAAAATGATAAAAGTATGTGTGAAGATTTTAAGAAGTCGATGGTGTTAGACTTTGACATGTCTTACTTGGGGGATATGGCGAAATTAGTAGACACTATGGACTTAATTAGATTAAGTCTTGGTATGGAAACTTACCAATTGAGAACTTTCAAATTCAGAGAAATCCTAGAATTCACAATGGGCAATCTTGAGCCAAATCCTATTTTCGGAAGACAAAGAAAAGCTCAGAAAGAGAGAATAAGAAAAAGGATAGGTGCAGAGACTTAATGGAAGCTATTCGAACAAATGAAATTGACGATTTTTCCTTTTTTTTTAGGAAAGGAATCCTTCCATCAAAATTAATGGATCAAAGATAAGATGAGATAATTTTTAGAGGTTGAAGTACTACAAAATTTTAATGGGATTTATATGTGTCAAAGAAATATGCTCAGGAAGTATTAGAAAGCTTTGGCATAGACAAAAGCAACATAATGAAGAACTCCATAGTTCCAGGTTGCAAATTGTCAAAGGATAAGATGGGAGCGAAGGTTAATACAAGTATGTTCAAGTAGGTGGTTGACAACCTTATGTATTTAACTACAACTAAACTTGATTTGATGTATAATGTGAGTCTTATTAGTAGGTTTACGTTGTGTCCTAAAGAGCAACACTAGTTGGCAGAAAAAGATGCTAAGATATTTGAAGGAAACGACTGATTTAGGGATTATTTACAACAAATGAGACTGTAATAATTTATAACAAAGATGAAAAATAAAATGAATTTCTTTATACATATAGCGTGAAAATTGACCCAAAATAATTAAACTTTCACCTTTATTATTCAATTTGAGAAATTGAAAAGGTATTCAAACAAGATGAGATAATTATTTACCAATATATTATAACTTACTACATAAATTTACATTTGAATAGTAAGAAAATATACATATGTTGGCTTTTATTTTGACTTCATTTTCATAATTACAAAATCAAAATATATGATCCTAGTTATCATCCTCAAAACAACCCTTTATCTCTTCAAACTCTTTTGGTGTCAGGTCCTTATCATAAAAATCTCTGCCATTTCCAGTAACCTTTGTACCAGTTATTTGCTCTTTAGTGAAACTAATTGGTCTTTCAAAGAGGTCATGATCATAGAAGGTATACGCAAAATTTACAATGCTTGGTGTTTGAATTGTTCCTTTATATATGTATAGACTGAGGGTGTGAGATGAATCCTATTATTAATAGGGTAATAAAAAGGAATATTATACCATATAGTTATCTCTAAGGTAAAAATAACATTATTCTTACTAGCTACTACAAATTTACAGTGACAGACTCACTGTTATTCCTTAAATACATAGTTTAATCTACTTTTTACAAATCACTCAGTTAATCTAATGAGTCTCTAAGTAGGAATGACAATGTGTAGGGTAGGGTCTAGGTAGGGTACTGATGAATCCACATTTTGTTGGATTTTTACTTGTTTTTTTTTTGTGTTCCTTAATAGTAAAAATAGACTTAGGAAATGTAAATAGCATAGAAACATTATTTTAGTCAAATATCATAGGTTTCTTAATTTTTGGTTAATTTACATAGATATAACTTGCAATTTTGATCATTTGAATAATTCTGTAGGAATTTCTAGGCTTATTTCATGGATTTCTAGCTTTTGAGAAATTTTGAGTTGAAAGTGACCACTTTGGATTTCATAATGGACACTACAGCAAGTTAGATCCAGAGGGAAGTCCAAAGTGATCACTCTGATTTCATAGTAAACACTACAGAGACCCCAATTTGAAGAGGTGTTATGAGTAGTTACTTTGAGTCTATAGTGGTAACTCTAAAGAAGGCAAAAAATCACCCAATCTTGTGCTCTACTATGAGAGCACCTGCGTGTAGCCACTATGAAACCATAGTAGCTACTATGGGTGACGACTACTACACTATAAATAAAATTTTAGAAATTAGGTCAGCAGCTTTTTAATACTCTTAGATTTCTTGCCATTTTAGGAATGCTTACAGAGTTTAGGTCAGCCTTGGGTGACAGCCAAGGCCTAAACCTAGGGTTTGATTTCAATTTTCTTCCTATCTTTCTTTACTTCTTGCATTAATGGTAGTGATTTCTCCCCATTTTCATTTGATAGTTGTAAGACCCATCCTCATGGAGGGCTAAACTCTTTTGTAATCCCTACTGAGTTCATTTAGATTCTTGAATTCCTGGGTTTGAATGGTAATATTGTTCTTTTTCTTCCATGAATTTCTTCTTCCTAGACTCATGAATTGAATTAATGGTTGAATGAGGGGAGCATTGTGTAATGAACCCTAATTCATTTTAAGGAAATTCTAAATTTTAATTGCTTAATTCTTGTTTAATTCTAAGATTACGTAATCAAGGAATGAAAGATTCGAGTTCATTGGATTGCTTAATTCATATGAAAACATAAGGTTGATTTTCGCTTGTTAAACTAACGTAATTCTGGGATGAGAGGAAGAGTATTAAAATTTTGAGAGGAATGAGGATAGAGTCCACATGAATGAACTAGGGATTACTACTTTTTATTGATTGAACATCATAATTCTGCTTCTTGCTCTTTATTTCAACCTTGGAACTACACAAATCCCCCTAATTAATTGCTTTTGTAATTAATGTTTTGAACATGTTTGATGCATATTCTCAACCATTGTCATTGGAGTCGACCTAGGTTAGCACCCTAGTATTACATTAATTTCTGTTTATATTTTGATGAGAATTCACGAAAAATCTTTCGTTCATCAAATTGGTGCCGTTGTCGGGGAATTTAGTGTTAATTTTGCATTAAACTTGTTAGTTACTCTGTTTTAGTGTTTTGTTTTTTATTTTTCTGCATTTTTGCTCAGTTTTTGTCGCATAATTCTGCAAAATTTGTGACTTTGTGCTGCGTTTTCTTGCAATTAATTATAATTTCTTTCTGCTTCATTTTACTGCACTTAGACAATAGTTTTCTACATAATTGTTAACCGCATTTTTGCTAGTTCATTTAGCTCACTTCTTTTCATTCCTCATAGTTAGTTTCTAGTGCATGATCAGATCAAATCTTGGAGACTTGTACCCACTTGATCCAGAAATTGATAGGACATTTCATACTAACATTAGATTACATAGACATAATTTTGAACATTTTGAAGAACCTTCATCTGCTTCATCTATCTACTCATCACCACATTCTTTAAATTCTGAATTGGACCAAATGGTTGATAATGAAAGAACATTAAAGGAACTGGCTGCACCTAATGTAACTCATCAAACTTTATGCATACAGTATCCTGACATTGATGCATCCTTTGTTCTTAAGACAGGACTAATACACTTGTTGCCTAGATTCCATGGTCTTGCAGGTGAAGATCCACACAAACACCTCAAGGAATTCCACATAGTTTGTTTAACCATGAGGCCACAAGATGTACTTGAAGAGCACGTTAAATTGAAAGCCTTCCCTTTTTCTCTAATGGATGCAGCCAAGGATTGGCTCTACTATCTCCCTCCTGGATCTATTACTAGTTAGGATAACTTGAAGAGGCTTTTCCTAGAGAAATTTTTTCCAACATCAAGAGCTGCATCTATAAGGAATTTGTGGGATAAGACAGCTTGAGAGAGAAACCCTCTATGAATATTGGGAAAGATTCCAGAGGTTGTGTGCTAGCTGCCCCTACCATCAAATTAGTGATCAATTGCTCATCCAATACTTTTATGAGGGATTGCACCCTATGGATAGGAGCATGATAAATGCCGCAAGTGGAGAGGCATTGGTAGACAAGACTCCAGTTGCAGCTTGCAACTTGATTAAGAACATGGCTACCAACTCCCAACAATTTGCAACAAGGCAAAATTCTTGTGCCAGAAATGTAAGTAAAGTGCAAGTTGCTGAATCTAGTAACCTGAAACACAAGCTTGATGAATTAGAATCCATGGTGAAGCAATTGGCCTCTATGCAAAAGAGTGTTGTTGCATCTTCTACTCCTCCACCATCTATTCCAGCCATGTTGTGTGGTATTTGTTCAGCTACAGACCATTACACTGATAGCTGCCCTACACTGCAAGAGTCGACAGTCTAGAAGGTAATCCTCAGGCTTATGCTGTAAATATTTATACTAATAAGTTTCCTTTTCCAAATTCGTAGCAACAGCCCAATTGGGATCTATCTTCCAATAGATATAACCCAGGCTGGAGAAACCATCCAAATTTGAGATGGAGGAACAACATAACCAGCAGCAAGACACTCAATATCAAGCACATCATGTTGGCCCAGGCAGACCTCATCAATCCCAACATCAACCACAACAAGCCCAACATCATCACCAACCATCTTCCCCACAACCAAGTGCATCCCAGAAAAATGAACCATCATTGGAGGAACTCATGAAGCAATTGACCATGAACAACATCACTTTCCAACAGAGAATTGAGGCTTTTATCAAGACTTTGGAGAATCAAATGGGACAGTTAACCTCCTCTCTAAACCAGATGCAATCTCAAGGCTCAGGGAACCTCCCTGCACAAACTATTGTAAATTCCAAAAAATATTAGTGCAATCACCCTGAGATCTGGAAAAGTGATGCAAGAGCCCACAATACCTAAGGAGAAAGAAGACTTAAGCTGTACTCCAGCTACAGTTGATCAAAATGGAGAGGAAAAGACTCAAGAACAACCAGAACCTACACCTGCCCAACCAAAGGTGGCAGAAAATGTTGAAAGAGTAATTCCTCTACCATTTCCTCAGAGAGTCAACTAACCAAGTAAGAAAGTTGAAGAGGCTGAGAAAGAGATTTTAGAGACCTTCAGGAAGGTAGAGGTGAACATACCTTTACTAGATGCAATCAAGCAAATACCCAAGTACGCCAAATTCTTGAAAGATTTGTGTACTCACAGGAGGCATCTTAAAGGTAATGAAAAGGTGAATATAGGTAGGAATGTTTCTGCACTTTTTGAGAAACAAAGGTCCACAATGTCTGAGAAATGCAAGGACCCAGAAACATTCACCATTCCATGCATCATTGGTAATAATAGGATTGAGAATGCCATGTTAGATTTAGGAGCATCCATAAATGTCATGCCATTGTTCATTTTTACTTCACTTTCTCTTGGTCCTCTACAACCTACAGGTGTAGTTATCCAGTTAGCCAACAGGAGCATAACAAACCCAGCTGGGATTATTGAAGATGTGCTAGTCAGAGTAAATGATCTTATCTTCCCAGCTGACTTCTACATCCTGGATATGCAAGAGGGAGAGTCAATGAAGAGTGCTACATCAATCATCCTAGGAAGGATGTTCTTGAAGACTGCAAGAACGAAAATTGATGTGCATGTCGGGACACTTACTATGGAGTTTAGGGACAACATTGTGCGCTTTAACATACTTGATGCTATGAAGCACTCATCTAAAGAACATTTTGTCTTCCAAATTGATTTATTTGATGATTTGATATATGAATAATTTTCTAAATTTTTAGAAGCATATTTTTCTTTTAATTTTTTGAATGTATAGATACTCCCATTTGTCAATATTGTAATAATTCTTCTATGTGTGACTCTTGTATTTCTGACTTTTTGAATATGAATTCTGCAAATTCTAATATTGAAGATATTGAAAAATTAATAGGAGAAGAATGTGATGTTTTGAGTTCAACAAGTATAATTGAGATACCCTTTGGATTTTAATGTTGCAGAAATATCTTCTACTAAAAGTGCTAAATCACTTCCCTCTATGGATCAACCTCCCACACTAGAGCTTAAGCCTTTGCCAGAACATTTGAAATATGCCTATCTGAAGGCAGACGAAAAGCTCCAGTGATAATCTCCACCAAGCTGAATATTGATCAAGAGAAGGGACTCCTTGAAGTGATAAAGAGGCACAAGAAAGCTATAGGCTAGATCCTCGCTAATATTCCTGGAATTAGCCCCTCTTTGTGCATGCACAGAATACTGTTAAAGGAGGATGTCAAACCAGTGAGGCAGCCTCAGAGGAGGGTGAATCCTATCATCTTAGACGTGGTGAAGAAGGAGGTCACCAAGTTACTACAGGCTGGGATCATCTACCCTATCTCAGACAGTACTTGGGTCAGTCCGGTCTAAGTGGTCCCAAAGAAATTTGGATTCACTATGGTGAAGAATGAGAAAGATGAACTAATACCCACCAGAGTTCAGAATAGTTAGAGAGTCTGCATAGACTATCGGAGACTAAACCAGACAATTCGGAAGGATCATTTTCCACTACCATTCATTGATCAAATGCTAGACAGGTTAGCTGGTAAGTCTCATTATTATTTTTTTTTATGGTTTTTCTGGTTATTTTCAAATTTGCATAGCACCTGAAGACCAGGAAAAAACCACTTTTACATGTCCTTTTGGCATTTTTGCCTATAGGAGAATACCTTTTAGCTTGTGCAATGCTCCAGGAACATTTCAAAGATGTATGTTAAGCATTTTTTTTTACTTAGTGGAGCATTGTATAGAAGTTTTTATGGATAATTTCACTGTATATGGCCCATCTTTTTCTGCATGCTTAGTTAATCTAGAAAAAGTTTTGAAGAGATGCATTGACACTAATCTTGTGCTAAATTTTGAGAAATGTCACTTCATGGCAGAGTAAGGTGTAGTGTTAAGTCATATCATATATGAAAAAGGCATTGAGGTAGATCCTACAAAATTAGATGCTATTGCACAATTGCTTTACCCTCTTGTGTTCGAGGGGTTCGTGCTTTCCTTGGCTATGTAGGATTTTACAGGAGATTCATTAAGAATTTCTCCAAAATTGTCACTCCCTGTCCAAGCTTTTGCAAAAGGAGGCTGAGTTCAATTTTGATGGAAAGTGTAAAGAAACATTTAATATGCTTAAGGAAGCCCTGACCACCACACCTATCATCCAACCTCCAGATTGAACCAAGCCATTTGAGTTGATGTGTGATGCATCTAATTTTGCAGTAGGAGCTGCCTTGACACAGCGGGTTGGTAAGTTTCCTCACATGATTTATTATGCTTCTAGAAATTTAGATCCAACATATTGTAATTACACCACAGCTGAAAAAGAATTGTTGGCCATAGTGTTTGCATTGGACAAGTTTAGGTAGTATCTTTTAGGGTCAAAAGTTATGATTTTTACTGATCATTCTGCCTTAAAGTATTTGCTAAAAAAGACATTCTAACCCTAGGCTCATAAGATGGATGCTCTTACTTCAAGAGTTTGATTTGGAAATAAAGGATAGAAGTGGAACTCAGAATCTAGTAGCTGACCACCTAAGCAGGATAAAGGGAGTTCTTGACCCTATTCCTCTTTTAGATGATTTTCCTGATGAACAACTCTTAGAGTTGTATATTTCACAGGCACCCTAGTATGCTGACATTATTAATTTTCTTGTTATAGGGGCCTTTCCAGCAGATGCACCAAGAGCTAAAAAGGAAAAAATAAGGAGTAATACCAAACACTAAGTTTAGGATAACTCTTATTTATGTAAATTCTGCAGTGACCAAGTCATCAGAAGGTGCATACCTAATGAGGAGATTCCATCCATACTACAGTTTCGTCATGCCTTAGCTGTAGGTCATCAAGGACCTCAGAGGATAGCAAGGAAAGTATTAGATGCAGGACTGTACTGGCCTTCAATTTTCAAAGACTCATGGCAGACATATTCCACTTGTGAGAGATGCCAAAGAGCAGGAAGAGTAATTACTTAGAGATAGGAGATGCCCTAACAGCCCATCCTATATTGTGACATCTTTGATGTCTAGGGTATTAACTTTATGGGACTCTTCCCTTCATATTTTGGTTTTCTTTATATACTTCTTGCTGTTGATTATGTCTCAAAATGGGTGGAAGCTAAGGCCACCAAGACTAATGAAGCGAGAGTTGTTGCAGATTTTTTCCGTACCAACTTATTTTGTAGGTTTGGAATCCCTAGAGCCATTATTAGTGATCAAGAAAGTTCTGCAATAGGATTATAGACGTCTTGTTGAAAAAATATAGAGTTGTACACAAAGTTTCCACTGCCTATTACCCACAAACAAATAGACAAGCTGAGCTCTCTAATAGAAAAATCAAGAAAAATACTTGAACGAGTAGTGCAGCCACATAGGAAAGACTGGAGCCGCAGGCTTGATGATGGCTTGTGGGCGCACAGAACTGCATTCTAGACACCCTTGGGAATGTCACCATATAGGGTAGTCTATGGAAAAGCTTGCCATTTGCCAGTTGAGGTGGAACATAAAACTTACTGGGCAGTGAAGACTTGTAATATCCATTATGACTCAGTTAGAGAGCAAAGGAAGTTGCAGTTACAAGAGTTGGAGGAGCTGCGTCTTGAGGCTTATGAAAACTCCAGAATTTACAAAGAAAAAATCAAGAGGTACCATGACAAGATAATCTCAACGCCTCAAAATCATGCCTGAAAAGATCAAATCAAGGTGGATTGAACCTTGCACAGTCACAAGGGTGTTCCCTCATGGTGTAGTGGAAATCCAAAGTGACTCCACAAGCAAAAGCTTTATGGTGAATAGGCACTGTTTGAAGCCATTCTTGCAAAATTCAGCAACCTTCGAAAAAGTTGAGGACTATTCACCATAAAGCTTTTGAAAAACTTGCACTTACCCTGCACAAATCCCAACCATAACCCTTGGCTTGCATAACTCTCTCCATACGTCAAGCTAGTGACATTAAAGAAGTGTTGTGTAACGCCCCAAAGTTCGTCAACTAAGCTAGTGACTCTTAGATCTAGTTTGGTTGCTATTTATGGCTTGCTAGTATCGGAATAATTAGCGAGATGCTGAACTTTTCTATTTTATTCACTGAGGAGAATAGTGACTTGATCTCTAAGTTTTGCATTTTAGAGTAACTGCATGCAATACACTTGGCTTCGATATCATCCAAGAATTGTCCTGATTGTTTTCAGCTGTACTGTCCAAAAATACCCCTGAGAATCTTGCTAAAACAAAAAACTACATTTTGTCTTATTTAAATTATTGAAAAATCATAATTATCATTCTCGAAAAATGTAAGATTTTGTAATCATTACGAAATATTCTATATTTACTTCAAAAGATTTTATAATCATTACGAAATATTTTATTTTTATTTCAAAAGATTTTGTAATCACTATAAAAAGATTTTGTAATCATTACGAAATATTCTATATTTATTTCAAAAAGATTTTGTAATCACTGCAAAAAGATTTTGTAATCATTACAAAATATTTCATATTTATTTCAAAAGATTTTGTAATTACTGCAAAACGATTTTGTAATCATTACATAGATTTTGTAATCATTTCAAAATATTCTATAATCATTTCAAAAGATTTTATATTCATTTCAAAAGATTTTATAATCATTTCAAAAGATTTGTAATCATTACTTAGTCCTGTAATCATTACTTCAAATCTTTACAAATCTAGTATCGGCCACTAGATTTTCATGCAAAATATTCTTGTTTCCTAAAGTGCAAACACCATAATTACCCGAATCTTCCAAAATCTAGTACCGACCACTAGAATTACATGCAAGAGATTCTTGTCTCTTAATTTGCAAACATAATCATTTTAGAACATTCTTGTCTTGACTTCCAAAATGCCGACACCATAATTCCCTTAATTAATTGTCTTTCTTGAAATTAGCACCACATCAAAAGTCTCGTCCACATGTCAACCTAGTCATGTCGCATTTTTCTCGGCCAACCAAATTTCATGCATTTGTTGCCCAAAATCTTAACCTTGGAGTTTTGTGCCGATTTTTGGAAATTGCTCCACCCAAAACCCTTTGCATGCAGCCCTAAATTATTTCATGCATTTTACTTGCCAAAATATACTAACTTTGCTTGCAAGTTTCCCTAAAAGCATCTATTCCTACACTAAAAACTGTAACACCCTTTTCTTGCACCATTCTCACCAATTTCACTACAATTCTACTTCTTTTGGACTGTGAGCAAATTTTGGGACTTCCAAGGCTTATCGAATAAGCTAACCATGAGTTCCTAATTACCTTGGACCATTAAGACCTTAACCTTCATATAAATTATTCATTTTTGTCCATTTGCCCATTTTGGAAACAAGAAACCGAGACCTCACTTCTCATTCTCTCCACTTGATTTCTCATTTCTCTCTCTCACTTTGCTTCATCATTTTTATTCTCTCAAAGTCTCAAATTCTCTCAAACTCTCTCAAGAAAACCAAGAGCTTCCAGCCCCTCAAACACCGCAATTTCTTCATCCAAATCACTCAAACACTTCACCCTTCCATCACTAACTTCTTCCTCCATCTTCTCTCAAATTTTCGTGTGAAAGGAACCAACCTTGGAGGAGAACTTTGAAGAACTTGGTTTCCATTTTTGGTCCAGCAAGCTCTCTTTGAAGATCCACAAAAATCCAGCCCTTTCTCTCACCATTTCACGCCCAAAACTCAAAGGCAAGGGGGAGTTCTCACCTTTTATTTTGATTCTTGCTTTCCCATAGTTAAATTGTGAAAAATCCTTAGAAAATTTTCATTTTTATCTTCAATGATCTTGGACAAAATGATTGAACCCTTTGCATGTTAAGTTTGCATCTTGCTCTCCACTTTTATCACTTTTATATTCTCAGTTTTATGCTTGGATGAGTGGACCCTTTGAAAGTTTGAATTTTTATTATTTGCATGTTGAATCTTTTGGTGCATATCTCGGTTTTGCACTTGTCTTGGCTGAATCTTTGGTTCAAATAATGGTTTACCCTTGGAGTCTTGGAACCGTGAAATGATTTGTTAAAATCCCCCTTTTGCATGTTGATTTTGAACCTTGAAGGTTTTGGTTTTCCACTTTCTAAACTCAATATTAGTTTTTAACCAATGATCTTGCACTTGACTACTCAAATGATGCCTTGCATGTCTTGAACCCCTTGTTCTTTTGAGATCTATCTCTCTTTAAATAAGTGTACTCTTTGGATCACTAAAATGAAAGATCTAAGTGTCAAAAGCCCTTATGTATTGCCTCGGTTTAGACTTTTTAAACCTAATCCTTTGCTGAAAATTAAAGTACTGCACTTGGATGATGGAACCTTGTGTTTGCATGTTGATTTTTCTTTATTTTGCTTATTGTGGACTTGATGAAAAATGAGTTTTTAAAGGCTGGACAGTTTTGATTGTTATGAGGAAAAAGGCTAAGATTTATATATTTTGAAACCTTGGGACATTTGGAAAGGATTGGTATGATTCATTGTAATTAATCTCATAAAAAGAGAAAAGGAAAATCGCTTGGATGGTTTCGGTTTTGGTATTTAAAAGTGTTGCAAAATTTGGAAAATAATTTGCATGTTTGGGGCAAATAAATAAATTAAGATGTTGGACAGTTTTGAGTTTTAAGAGAAAGACTTGAATTTTGTATTTTGAGGTCTTGAAACTATTTGGAAAAAGTTAGTGTGAACTTTAAAAAGAAATTGCACAAAAGGAAAGGCTAATTCTAGTGGACAGCCTATGTTTTGAATATATAAAATGCTATAAAAGGTTGAAATACATCTTGTATGCCTTGGTTTGTATAAGGAAGGAAAAATGAAATTGAAAAGTGCAATTACTTGGCTGGACTTGATTGAACCGTGATGGACTTTGCTAGTGTGAAAGATTGATTGTTGCTTGTAAATTTTGCATGATTAACCTTGGATGAATATTAGTGCAAGACTTGAAATTACTTGATTTTGGATGTGGAAATTCATGAAATTTACTTGAGTAACTTGCTGGAAAAATGTGAATGATGTGAGATATGTACTATTCATTCTTGGTAATTGTGTTTGAGAGCCTTGAGGTATGTTTGAAGTGATGCTTGGCTGGAAATTTAGATTTCCTTACTATTCATTGTGAATTTAGCTATGAAATTGCTATTTAAGAGCATCACATGCATCATTGCATACCTTATGAAAGAAATGATGAATTATAACAATGTGTAGCGAAAATAATTATATGATATTGCAATGTTGATAATCTAGAGCCTTTGAGGGCTGTTTGATGGAAATGGACCACGAATACGATTGGAATTATTGGAAGTATTATGATTTAGTTGCCTTTTGAGTGATTGAGTATTGAGAATAAAAAATCAGCAAGTGACAATGCAAGAAAAATGTGATAAATGAGAGGAAAGGACTTAGATGGTGTGTGACATAAATTAAACTACTTGGTGTGACAAAAGTACTTAAGTTTGATTGAGATAACCTCATAAAAAGCGAGAAACCGATAGGTAGTACCCTTGAATCATTGTGTATTAACTTGATTAATTAGTGGTTTAGAAAGGAATTAAGTTTAATGAATTGTTCTTTCATGGAGAGAAAAACTGAGAGGAAGAAAATTAAGAGAGTAAGAGTCAGAGTGAAATGATTTATGGTTTAGAAGGTGTTAGAGGTTAATGAAAATAAATGTGATAGTTAGGATGAACTTGAAAGAAGAGATTGTAAAGATTGAGGAATAAGAATGTGCTAAATTGAAAGAGGGATTGAATTGAAATGTGAAATAAAGAGTAACTTGAGAAAGAGGAAATGAATTATGAAGGCTTGAATGATTTGCCTAAGTTGTGGTCCAATATATTAAGTGCTGCACTAAAATTATCCATGAGTGGGAAAATATAAAACCATGAGACTATGAATCTATGATGAAGGATCTATTCTAAGCTATGAGTTCCAGAAACTATATTACTTTGAACTACTATGAACTCATTGAAATTGCTATGAAAACTCATGGAATCTATCTATCTATGCTACTATGAAACTCATGGAATCTATCCATGCTACTGTGAAACTCATGGAATCTATCCATGCTACTAAGCCCTGTGATGGCTTCTATTATATTCTACTATGCCTAGCCTCTAAGTGGTTACATGAAATGAGAAAACTATCAAAGAAAACTGAAAAATATCATTTCATGCATCATACTATTATTTTGAACGACTTGGAGGCATTACCGCGGCACAACTTGGAGGTGTTGTAGGTTTGGTCCCGAGTAGATCTACTGGGGGTGGCAAAAGGGGGAATATTCGACCTAAGTGCCAACAGTGATGCGCCTCTGTGGCCAGGTCGTGACCCACTGCAAACCTTAGCCAAACCTGACAAGGACCGCACATTCTATGGTCGTCGAGGTCCATTCCTGAAGAGACCTATCTTGGGCCAAACACCAGTGGTGTTCTACTAAAGCTAAATGCTGCTTCTATTCTATTCTACTGTGCCAATCTAAATATAGGGAATGAAGTCCTCCGATCGCCTCACAACTTGAATCTATCTATGAGACTCTATGGTAAAAGCTGGGCAAGTCACCAGTCATAGAGTGATGGGATCCCCACGCATCATTTACATGCTATTAACACATGAGTGACTTTATGGATGAGATTGAAACCTGCATTCATGCATCATGTGCATTACTATTGAATATTCGTGAGATTTGTTATGATTA